GCTTCCAGACTTAAACCAGTAGTAGAAACTATGCAAGGTGTGAAATCCCATCCAACATATTACTTTGGTCAGCCAATATAAAAAATGCGCAACATAATCAAGTTTCAGGTGAAGGGGGTTAACGAAAACGATTCAATGGATGAATACATAAAATAATCTTATCCACAGATTTGAAGATTTATTGAAATATGTATACCAGAATGATGATCAAGTTATTAAAAAAAACCTCGAAGGTGATGCACTGAAATCTAAACAAATCAAAGATCCTGAATATAGAGAAGAAGACCCTCTACAGGAGCTTCATGATGCATCAGAAGCAGCGTATCAGAAATATGGAGAGGCTCAGAAAAGATACGAAGATGCTAAACAAGTAGTGAAAGGCTCTAGCTCCAAGGCAGCACGATCAGCTCTGAAGGCTGCTCAATCCGCATTTAAGGCTACCAAATCGGTGTACGAAATCAAAGCTAAAGCATACGCAACTAAGCGAAATGGTGGAAAGCTCACTGGGAGAGGTCTCATGGGCGCTGGCGTTAAGCCGCTTGAAGGGGTAGTGCGTCGGGGCCGAACCTACAACCTCAATGAGATCATTCAAGGTCTTGCTACTCCATCGGCATATACTTATCGTCAGCTCGGAAGTAAGTATATTCGTATCCCTGATCTCGACTCTAAGACTCTCGTAATCGTTCAGCCTAACAGACGGAAATGCGGTCCAAAGCGAGCCATTAGCGAACAGCTCAAAACAATGATTCGATCGCTTACGTTCAAGCAGCATATTGATCAAGCGGCGTATGACAAGCTCGATATTGATGATAAGAAGCTTTTCAAAAAGATCCTTGCGATTACACATCTTCAGTACAATTTCCATGATCGTCTTGAAGATCCACTAGACTCTCTTAGAGCTGAGTATGATAAGCTCAAAGGGGAACTTGAATTGGGAAATGACAATCCTTCGATCATCAAACGGCTTAAGAGTCTCTCAGTTGATATGTACTCTAACCACCTAATTTCTGATTCTGAGTTTAAGGAAATTATCATTCGTCTTATATAACTCGCCATGTTTTTTCTTATATCCACGCATCATTGCAAGCTCCGGGGGTAGCTACGGAGAAAATGCCGATCTCAATGTCGCTGAATTGAAAGCAATCATGAAGGATCTGATCATTCGCGATCGCCCTCAGCAAACACAAACCGGTATGTGGGCTTCTGATCTTGTTAAATCAATAAACAAGACTGATGCAGCTACTCAGACCCAAGGTGGTAAAATGCAAAACCTATGGTCCTATCAATCTAAAAATAAAAATAAACCAGTTAAGACATTCAAGCTCTAAGATTGCTCTCCGATAATACCCTGGTAGAGTCGCAAGACTCTGCCTCCGTCCGAGCCTTGCTCAATATTTTTTTAGCGGGAGATTCGATCATCGAGCAAGGCTCGGATGGAGGCAGTGTCTTGTGACTCTATCAGGGTATCGATCGAGTTCTCCGCTCAGAGTTTTGATCGATGATCGAAGGGTCTTTGACCGGAGATCGAGATCACCTAGTCGGCAGACCAGTCAGATACCTTTGCTTTGAGTTCATGGATTTCGTCGAGCAAATGTTGAATCATTCGCATATTGTAGCAGGTGATTTTCGGATAATCAATAGAATATCGAACTCCTTTTGGTTCTAGTATTGGATCACTAGAATTTTGTAGATTCTCGTCCTCATGCGGACATTAAGCTACTAAATCCAGGAAGCCGGCATCGAGTACGTCCTGAGCCAACAATCCAATCTCTGGATACCGATCGCGCTGATCCTTCCACTGGTACTAGACGACACTCAGATGGTATAAATCTCTGATAGCGTCAATACTAATGGGGTAGATATTTGTCTTTAATCGTCGATCCGAACTCATTACTGTCGCCGTGGCTGCCAGATACCCGTCGAAAATGGCTGACATAGTTGTATAAGTAATAGGTCCGAGAGCTGATTCGGTCACTCGTGAGTCCGTTCGTAATCGGTATACCATGCCTCCTCCTGCTCCGAAAGTGTACGAGCTTTGCCCTACACAATGTAACATGGCGCTTGGATACATCGTACCTACCCCCAATCGCCCAGCCGCTGTCAGAACCATTTTATTCGTGCCACCCGTAGCCCAATAGAGTCCGCCAGGGTAAACACCGTGGCTAATACCACCAATACCCATCTCCCATTGCGAAAAATTAGATCCAGTCAGCGAAAGCCGACAATTCCCATTCGAAGCTGATGATTTGTTATTCAACTCTAGAAGAGTATTGTTTGATCCTAGTATCGAGAGTCCTGACATGTTATAATTGTTATTCTCGTTTAAAGTCATCTGGAAGCCACTGCTAGGAGTCAACGTATTAACACATACTCTTCCATATCGATCAAGGAGTAAATTTAATGCAGATAGCCGATGTCGAAGAATTATTACATGCGATGTTGATAGCTGCATGATCTGTCGATATTTGAGTGTAATCACCTGCCCCCCAGCTGTAACTGTTATAGTACCACCCCTCGGCGATGTTAGTCGAATACAGAGAGCCACCGATGAATTGGTTCCTGAGCGCTAATCCAGTCCATGTTCCAGCTGATGAAGTTCCAGTAGCTGAAATGCTATATCCACTATGAACTTTCAGTCCATACGAAGCTTTTTGAATAGTAGTCATTGTCGATCCTATGGTCAGTCCGCCATCATCGCTATCACGAAAAATATTGTAGATCTCCTTATAGGCAGTATTATTGTAAAAGGATATTTTATTACTGGATGCATTCCCCGAAGGGAATCGAATGATGGAGGACGAATCAAGCACCAGCGCTTTGCTGGAAGCTGCTGTACCAGCTGCTGTATCAACATAGTTAATTTTAGTAGCAGTAGCAGTGATGAGAGTACCACCGAGAGATAAGCAAGTCGTCGATCCATTGTGAGAAGAAATGTTCAACGTGGATACACCTGTGATGTTTGGTTGAGAAGCTGTTTTGAATCGTTCCTGATAGTTGAGTAGCTGACAATGAATTGATATTCGCTAAAAGACGGGCCGAGCACTATCATTCTTAACAATGATTTGATGTTCAAATCAGGAATGTCTCTCACTGAGGCGCTTTTGAATTTCTTTGGTAAAAAAAATCCGAAATCGGGAATACAGCTCATGATTATCGTTTGATCTATATAGATTCAGATAAAATGAGTTCTGGATTTTCATATCCTCAACCAGTCTTCCAATCACCTATTTATAATTCGGCTTTCTATCTATCTCTGGATGCGAGTGGATTTATCACCTATGATTATGCTCAGACACTTTACCTCGGCAAAAATGACTACAGATTGACTTATATCTCAGGTATTACAATAGGGTCAGCCACGGAGGGTGTAGCGCTTGTTCCAGGGCCTAACAAAGATATCAGTGGTATTGGCGCACTCAGCTGTAGTAGTTTAATAGTGAATGGAGTAGCGGTTGGGAGCTTGACAACGTATCTTACTGGTATCACACCCGGTACGGCAACTGTGAGTAAGGCGTTGATACATCAAGTAATATCTCAGGAATCAATTATCTATCGGCCACTCAACTAGCAGGAACGATCCAAACATCGAGTCAGCCAAACATTACTTCAGTGAATTCATTGAATATCGCGTCGCATGATGGATTAACAACTGGCCTATCGCTCGGGGGTGTTTTGATTACAGCAAGTGGCTCAGAAATTAACTATGTTGACACAACTGCTGGCACTGCTCAAGCGAGTAAGGCCTTAATTGTCGACTCTTCTCGTAATATTATGTGAAGGACTTCAATATACCGGAAGTTGATGAACGTAGTATCGTATACTACTACAACAAAGCCACCACCATGACCAAATCACGCTTGGAATTAGCATTTAAAATAGATACATACTCTGTTTTCAATCTAATCATCTTGTCAGTGGCAAAGTAGCTATGACTAAGGAAAATGGTACTCCATTTGAAATGGCGACCACGAGTAAAGTAGTGAGAAAACAGATTCTTCTGGAGTAGTTTGTCGTTGCTGTAGTCATCAATGATGATTGTGTTGCGCATTTTTTATATTAAATGGATTGTTAGCGGTTGGCTGACCAAAGTAATATGTTGGATGGGATTTCACACCTTGCTTAGTTTCTACTACTGGTTTATGTCTGGAAGGAATTCTAACACCATTGGATTGTAGTTTAGTGTAATATGCTTTTAGGATCGATTTAGCT